TAGCACTTAAGGTCCAGCGTCTCTCTGCATCTGTTCTCTTCCTACCTTTATTCCCACTTCTGAGAACAGAAGCGAAGTTTCTGTTCTGTGTGATCTAGCATCACTGACAAAGTGACTCTAAGTTAAAGCCAATGATGAAAGTGCATTTCTTGACTCGTTCAGAGTTCAAGCATGGCTTCCTAGAAGTAAGACACCTTTCATAGATGCCATCTTTAATGAGGCCTGGGGTTTGCCAGGCGTGGCTTTCCTATTTTTAGAGCTAGCACATGCCCCCCTCTAAAAAACTAGAGCCTATGGTCTGTTTCAGAAAAAGATGTCATGCTATGAACCTCATTTAAAAGCCAGAGGGAGAGGTCTGGGAAATGTTAAGTGTAAGAAATCAGCATGCAGGATGTACAGCCAAACGTCTGACAGCAGTGCAGAGGATTTGTCTGCCTCCCCCACAGGCAGAAGATGAGTTTGTGTACTGGCCAAGTCGAGAAGAATCCATGAACTGTGAGGCCTTTACCGTCACCCTTATCAGCAAAGACAGACTGTGCCTCTCTAATGAAGAACAAATTATCATCCACGACTTTATCCTGGAAGCTACACAGGTAATCTCAACCTCACTGCCTCCATAATAGCCATACCTGGGCCCGTGATCATCATTTACCACCCTCAAGGCAGGCTTAGGGGTTTAGAAAGACTTGATTTTTAAATATGTACATTTCCCCCTCTATCCCCGCTTCAAATATTTGCTTCTTCAAGCAGGGTGGATGAAATGTAGCATTTCTTCTGATTCAGCACGCATACAAATAGGTATGCTGACCTAATTAGGAAAACAATACGCCAGAGCTCAATATTCTCTTTGCCATCAGAAATGTTACTCTTGCAGTGTGTTATAGAGATGATAATATTAACTTTGTGGGTGTTTTTGTTCTGTTATTTGAAAGAAGTGCCGGAGGGGAGGGGTGGCGAGGAGTAGGGCCTTCTTTCACAGTCACTTAAGTATTTTTTTAGCCCATTTTTCCTTTGCATTTTGCAGATAGGAGAATAATAAAGCCTCTTAGGATTATTGCTAGACTTTTTTTGCTGAAACAAAATGGGATGTAACGGTTTCATTTTCATGAACAACTCGCTTTTAATGACAAGACCACTCCCCAGCCTGCTGCTTTGTCCTCCAGAGTATAATATGCTTTGCGAGGAATGAGTTGTCCACCGGACGGTGGCCGTAAAGAACTCAGGACGCACTAAGACTCGCCTTGTATTGCTTACAGGATGACTATGTCCTAGAAGTCCGGCACTTTCAGTGTCCCAAATGGCCTAACCCAGATGCCCCAATAAGCAGCACCTTTGAACTTATCAACGTCATCAAGGAAGAGGCCTTAACAAGGGATGGCCCCACCATCGTTCACGACGAGTATGTATCTGTCTCTTGTTGGACTGCTCTAGGAGTGGAAAGACACAAAACACTACCCCCTCCTGCAGATTCTGACAATTCCGTCTTATTTCTAATGTGCCCTGCTTCTGTTTGTCAAGGACCCCTTCAGTTAACCGTCCCCTGCAGAGGAGTCCATTTCCAGACTAGAGATACCCGATAGGGTTTCTCCATCCATCCATACGGGATGAACTGCCCATCTTTCTCCTGTGGTGGTTTCAAACCACCAACCTTGAGTGCTTTAAGGCTTTGTTTATGAGGAAAAGAATCCTCTTTAAAAGATCACTTGGTTGAATGGTAGAGATGAAGTTACTATAACGAACGATAATATTTAGTGTTTACAATGTGTTTTCAAGTTGGTAAAGAGTATTAATCTCAAAGAAAACAAGTACCCCATATACTTGATTCATAAATATGTTTCTTTGTGACT